TACACGAGACTACCTCGTACGCCGTGTGTATGTCACTGGTTCTGTCTGTGTATATCTTCTGCCATTGTTGTCTATGCTTGGCGCAAGCTGTATGGAATGTTCAACTGATCTAACAGCTGCAACTGCAAAGAATATATAGTTAGAGCAAAGGGAATATAATAATATTAATGAATAACTCTAAATAAATGTAAGGGTGCATTTGGATGGAAGGATTTGGGGAAGGGATTTCAAATCCATAATAACAAATCCCTTGGACTTGTGTGGATGGAGGGATTTGAGGATGGATTTCAAATCCACAGCCCTCATTTTTAGTTATGTTTTGAGCAATTGAGGTGGATTTCAAATGACTCCAAAATTGGAGTCATTTCAAATCCCTTCCCCAAATCAAATCCCTCCCCAAATCCTTCCATCCAAACGCACTCTAATATTGATTATTCTATTCCTTCCCAATCAATAAATGTCTACTGTTCTTTGCTTTATATGTGAATTATTATTTATTTATTATAAACAGGCAGATCAAAACGATATTAGCACTTTCAAAAATGTTGCCAAAAAAAAAAAAAAGTGGAAAACTAATTTTAATTCCGTTTAATAAAAATGAAAATCGGATCGAATATCAAAATCGTTTATGTATTCCTATACAATCTAAAAGGAATCGGAAAAAAATTGAAAATTGGAAATTTTTTTTTTTTTTTTTTTTAATTTGAATTCGCGAAATTTGAAACTTTTGTTCCAATTTTAACCTCTATTGAAGTACTAAATGAGTAAATGAGAATATTGGAGAAAATCAGAAGGGACTGAATTGATATTTTCTCAAACTAGAGGGGTTCCAATAAAAAATAGGGTACTTGAAATATTGGATAAAACATGGCTAAATCGTGTCACTTCAAATGGAACGTAATTAGCCGGAGAAGATGGCCAACGCCGCCCTCAACCACCGTACTCTTCCACCACACCGATTCATCGCCACGCCGCCGCCGCCGACGTCCCATCCAACTACCTTGAAACTGATTGAAGCAAAAAGACTGTTTCACCCTCTGGTTCCCCCTTCGTTATCTACCCACAACAATCTTCCATATCAACTGCGCAAATATAGCTCCGGTGTACAATCATGTCTTTCTTCTTCTTCTTCTTCTTCTTCTTCTTCTTCTTCTTCTTCTTCTTCTTCTTCTCCACCCAGGAATGGGTTCAATTCATCCATCCGGCTCTTCGTTAGTGGTCAGCTCTCTCTCTCTCTCTCTCTCTCTCTCTCTCTCTCTCTCTCTCTCTCTCTCTCTCTTGCAATTTCATTATCTGTAACTATGTTTATTTCATGGAAACCATAAAGATGAAGGCTTCAATCAATCCAACCGTTGTCGACGGTTAAGTGTTTGTTGTATTGTCCCAAAGAAGCAATTTTTTTGTGTTCTTCAGTTATCTTGGCATATGTATATACCACTGTCAGAATTCAGATCAAAAATATGTTATTGCTTAATTTTATCCCCAATAATCTGTTGCAAATTTTCGAAAATTAGAGAGATACATATTGATTGTCTTGTCTTTCTTCTCAGGGCTTTCATTTCGAACCACGGAGGAGAGTTTAACAAACGCATTCAAAAACTTCGGTGAGCTCACAGAAGGTCAGGAAAAAAAATAAAAATCTCTCTCTTCCGAAATCGCGCTTTAGCTGCTTAAGATTCTTCGTGATTCTGAAATAAGAAAATATTGATGTTGTGTTGATAAATTGTAGTAAACTTAGTGATGGATAAGATAGCAAACAGGCCGAGAGGCTTTGCGTTCTTGGCATACGCTACGGAGGAGGAGTCCAAGAAAGCTATCGAAGGAATGCATGGGAAGGTCAAATTCTCGACTCTGTGTTTTTAAATTGTCGAGTTTATCCTTAAAACACACACCTAGAAGATGATGTAATAACTGTAAATCATAACTATGGCATCTTTTGTAGATTCTATCTATGCTCTGTTTGTGGTTCTGATGAATGTATTTGTGTCTTGCCTATTGTTTCTCTAACTCACTGATATACGATGTGTTTGCAGTTTCTGGATGGACGAGTTATTTTTGTCGAGATTGCCAAACCTAGAGCTGAACTCCGGCAGGGAATCAGGCGGAACCCTAGCTAGATAGAGAGCTGCATTTAATTGTCACGGGGTAAATTATAAGCCAAGAATTTTTTGTCTATTGTACTGGGTAGATTGAATGAGGAAACGGCGTGTAGTTCGACAACACGATACATTATTGTAACACCATCAATGAAGGCAAACATAACATATACATTGGCTTCGGACAACTTCATTTCTTCTGCTTTTAAGCCTGTTTTCGAACAAATGGTGTAGATATATTTGTGAACTTTACAACTTTAGGGTAAACGGATGTTCTTCACCAAGAAATATGATGACGAACCAATTATGTGACCACACCAAAATTGAAGAATCGTTAATTAAGTACCTTATGCGGTTTGCCGGCCGATAAGATCTCTGAGATTGACCAGTGATTGATCCACGAAAGCCCCTTCTTTGAATTGGTGGTATCAAGTTTCTACCTCCAGTTTCGGACCGCACCAACTGCTATCTAACCGATAAACCATTCCTTCGGACCATCAGAAAAATGCACAGCTGCATGAATATGGAAATTTTCGATTAGATTTTACCATCCTCAAATAGGTAGCCTCGTGACTATGGTATCATAAAAGATTTAAAAAACCTCGGAGATCAATGACTCCACTTGTTTGATCGTTCAACTCGATCAAACATCTTCCGAGACAGTTTCGAAACGAGAGCACAAACATATTACGAGCAACTGGAATCCACTCGGCTATAACCTCGTTCCTTTTTGATGTTGTTCTTCTCCATCATAACCCTAATTTCATCTGCATCGCTCCATCTCTCAGCATCAGCATACATATTGTACAGCAACACATAAGGCCCAGAGCTTTCCGGTTCCAGCCTCATCAATGCTTCGGCAGCAACTCTTGCCAGCTCAGCATTGCCGTGGACCCTACAAGCCCCCAGCAACGCCCCCCACACAGCCTTGTCTGGCTCAATAGGCATTCGATGAATGATATCCATGGCCTCCTCAACCTGTCCACATCTACCAACAACATCCACGAGCGAGGCAAAATGCTCCACTCTCGGTTCGATTCCAAAATCACAAATCATCGATTTAAAATACGATTTTCCTTCTTCCACTAGACCGCGGTGAGCGCAAGCACTCAAAACTGATATAAATGTGATATAAGTTGGCCTCACTTTAAAGCTTTTCATTGATTCAAAAAGTCCAAGAGCCTCCTTGGCAAACCCGTGAGATGCGTACCCACCTATCATGGCATTCCAAGAGATGACATCGATCCGAAACTTCGTTTCTTCGAAAACAGTCCTCGCCTCGGATATTGCCCCGCATCTCGCGTACATTGTAATGAGGGAATTATTTAAAGGGGAGTCTGGTATGATTATCTTCGTCACCAATTGATGTATTTGCATGCCGAAATGCTGATCTGCCGATTCGGCACAAATGCTGAGAAGTGAAGACAGAGTGTGCCGATCCGGTTTCACTCCTTCCGCTTGCATTCGAACAAACAGTTCGATAGCTTCCTTAAAACCCGCATTTTTTTCGTATCCAGCTATTATGGTATTCCAAGAAACTAGGCTCTTCTGAGGCATTATCTGGAAATAGTCGAGCGCGAGTTCCATCTTTCCTGCCTGTGCAAACCCTGATATTATCGAGTTCCAAGATAAGGCATCTGGAGTTGCCATCTCGTAGAAGAGCTTTACTGCGGCTTTCATATCCGATACATGAACATAACCACTAATCATAGTATTCCACGAAACATTATCTCGATCGTTCATCTGATCAAACAGCTCCCTTGCGGATGACATGTCACCCGCTTTCGCATAGGACATAATCATCGAATTATACGAAACCACGTTTTTTTCAAACCCCATCTGATTGAATAGGCGTTGAGCGTCAGCTACCCTTCCTTTCTGACCATACCCAGCAATCAATGTATTATAAGCATGAATTAGATCCTCTTTTCTATCGCACGTTTTCATATATTCTAATACGACGTTTTCAGCCTCGTCCAAATCACCGTTCTGAATCAAACCAGAGACAAGGGCGCTGAGAGATGCCGCGTCTCGTCTCGGCATTCTTTTGAAAAAATCGGAAGCTCTCTTTGCATCACCGTTATTCAAGAACCCCGTAATCATGGCATTCCAGGTGACCACATTCTTCTCCGGCATACAGTCGAACAACCTCAAAGCATCATCCATTCTTCCATTCTTGGCGTACCCACTAATCATAGTATTCCAAGAAACAAAATCCCTTTCGTGCATTTCGTCGAACAGTGATCTACCTTCCTCTAGATGCCTCCAACCACGACACGACACGTATCCCGAAATCATCAAATTCCACGAAACAACGTCCTTCTTAGGCATTTCATCGAACAGCTTCCGTGCTCTAGCGAGCTCGCGGCGCTGCACATACCCGCTGAGCATTGAATTCCAAGTGATGGTGTTTCGGTTGGACAATTTATCGAACAGGGCTCTTGCATCTTCAATACGGCCCCCGCGGATCATTTCTGTTATCTTTTTATTGACAAAACGGAGTTCTGGAGGGATATGAGTGGAGAATATTCGAATAGCGAAGAGTTGCCATTGTTGTGTGCGCCGGAGCCTTGGCCAATGCAGTGGCATATCTCTGAAACGATGTAAATTAATTGAAACCTCGGAATGCCCCTAATAACCCAACATCTCGGACGGTTAAATTAGACAATACTTGGTCAAACTCATTTCGTATGGCCGCAAATTTGAACGGAAAAGTTCACTTCTGCAACCGGCATCGGGCGGAGATGGGGCGGTTGCGAGAGAGGAGCCGGCGGTTGAAAAGGCGACACACCGGAGAGCAGTAGAAGGTGGGCTTATAGAGTTTTGAGCAGGCCCAATATTTATTTCCTCTTTTTTCTTTATTTACACAGGCCTGTTCATCCAGTTGGTAAACCGACCAAAACGAACCAAACGGAAACTCGGTACATGTATGAAATATTAGTATTTAAACTAAAATTAATTAAAAAAAATTGAAAAAACAAATTTTTAAATATTTTTAATAAAATTTCGATAATTCAGTTATTTACCGAACTGTACGATAAAAGGCATGAAAATTTGACGTACCGAAATTTCAGTACAATTTTATCCAATAAACACCTCTAAATTTACCGACTGGGAGAGTTTTTTCATAAAACAATACATAGTTGAGGAGGTTGGGCTGTTGGCTGTAATTTGCGAACAATATGAATTTTTTCGTAATTTTACATTATATCAGGGGTGGCTATAATTGGCTATAATTTGCCCTATATTTATTTATTATTTTATCATCCCAAATATATTTAATTTTTTATGCTTTATGTTGTTAATTTTTTTCTTCTTTTTATTATGGATAGGAAAAATCACCGTTTGGTGAAAGTTAAAATTCCTTCTAGTACCTATGCTCATCATTTTCAGTACAAACAAAGTTCCACACATTGCAGAGCAAATTAACTCAGTGTGTCTTGTAAATCTCCAGCAATCGTGAACTTTGCTTGTCGAGAGGTCGTTGAATAGAGAGAGTAAAACGGGACGGTATTTAGCCTTCGACTGGCTCAAGGTCTCGATAAGTATGCCACTTTTTGTATCTTTGGTGCCCTCTCAGCACAGGCCTTATCCGATCTGCCGACGTGCAATTTGTGCAGCAGCATCCTCTCATATCCTCCACACATTTCAAACAGCATCTGCGATATATATAAGTCTCGGTTAGTATTTCTCGGACCATGATTTCATTTCACGCACTTCGATCGAAAAAACTTACAGGAAGAGAAGGTTGCAGTCGAGGTTTGCGCAGTTCCGGTGCCTAAGCTCGGATACGTGGGACCCACATACGTGGCATTTAGCAAAAGAATGTGACGTTTTTTGCTTCCCGATTGTATCGGCATTGGTTTCTGGTTTGTAGGTAGAAGGCGGTAGAGAGAGACGGCCATCAAAAACGAAGAGATTTCCGACCCATCCAGTGGAACCTTCTTTCTCTAGATAATGAGAAACGCCTCCTTTTAGCGTGTACAGATTCTTGAAACCCTGTTGTCTGCCGTATGATTAAGGCAAGCTTCTTAGGCCTCGTTTGGTAATGCTTAAATAAAAATAAAAATAAATAAAACCCGTTAATCAGACTGACCTAAGAATAGTGGAGTATACGTCGCAGCGGATTCCACCAGTACAGTACATCAGTACGTCCGTTTTCTCTCTATCGACATTAGCTAAAGGATCTGAAGCTACAACCTGGACATAGTGCAAATTATGTTTAATACGTATATCTCCGACGTAAATTATAATTGATCATCGGCATAATCTAAGACAGTGATGTTATATATAGTATGTTGGAAGATGATGCAAGTATTTGCCTCTGTTTGAGATTCGGAAGATAGGCCAAAAGAAGTGCTCCTGAAGCAATCGACATCCGGGCGTTGAGCCCCTTGGAAGTGGCCCACGTCCCATTCATAACCTAATTACGTATAAACGGCTTGATTACTAGCTAGCTCGAAACATAAAAATCCAGTCTTTTACTTCCGAATCGGACAGCACATTTGGAAAGTAATAGGATCGAAACTTGTGAATAAATCGAAGTTGATATAAAAGCAGAAAAATATCTAATTGTACCATTTCTCACGTCGAGTAAAATGCAGTTGGTGGTGGAATTTACTGTATCTAAAGAATTGTCGATATTGTTTACTCTTTCTAGTTTGCTCTTCCATTCAGATGGTGTAAGAGGTGTGGCTCGCATTGATTGGTCGAGCAAAGGGAGATGTGAAATACCCTCTCCCAACTGTATACGAAAAAAAAAAAAGACCACGAAACGGTTATTACACAACATGCTTTCATTTGAAAAGTTTATATAAACACATGGTCAATGTAATACCCAAACCCGAAAACCCAAAACCCCGAAACCCGAAAACCCGAAACCTGAAAACCCGACAAACTCTTAAACAACATGCTTTCAATTGAAAGGTTTATATAAACACACGGAGAATGTAATAGAAAGGGAAAAATTTAGAAGGAATATATAATAGTGATAAAGGGGACTCGTAAATATGTAGCTTGCCTGTACAAGTGATGGCTTGTACCGAAGCTTAAGTTTCGGAAAAGCGTGGCCATTCGTAGCTGGAGAAATCTGAATCAAAATGTCGGAAAACCGGTGATCTTCCTTAACCCATTCGACATACGCGAGGGCATCTTTAGACGGCCCACTGTACTGCAAGAAATACGCTGAGAATGGATTACTCGTCGAGCAGTAAAATTCACAGTAACTAAACGACGGTGGAAATTATCATAATTGTTGACAAAGAATAGAAGCTAAGACGCACCTGCGCGTTAATCCCTTGCTCGTTCAAGTATATACGACCGTGTATATCACGACCCTAAATCGAGAATCGAAAGGCATATTTAGTTACTAAACGACGATGGAAATGCTGAAATTTTGAATCTTTCTTCATAATTCCACGAAAATTTACCAAAGTATATATAACACGCAGCAGAACAATGCCGATACAATGCACTTAAATTCTAATTTTTTTTCGGTTTCTTCGCAATAAAGTGATGTAATCTCTCTTAAATTTTCTAACAAACTCAAAATGGGCATTTGCACAAGTAACAAAAATGACATTATAAATGGGAATCTGTCTGAAATAAAACCATAAGCCACCAAGATTGCACCAAGAAACCTTAAAACACACACACACACACGCACACACACACACACAGATTTACCTGCATGAAGGACAGGTGTCTTAAAACCTCCTCTTCAGGGTTTTGTACGAAAACAAATCGGTAAAAATTAACAACAATGAACTCGGCATCCTCGTATTCTTTAGGAGCACCGGCGACCACATCGATCCAGCCGCCGGTCGAAGATGAAAATGCTGAAAAATTGAATCGTTCTTGATAATCCCAAGAGAATCTACGGCCCCCGCCGCCATGAATTTTGTGTCTGTGTAAATGCAGAGAAGTAAAGATTTGGTGGGTGATGTGTTCTTGAATGAGAGCGTGTTTGGCGGAATTGGGTGTTGAAGATAGTAAAGGGCTCAAGGTGATAAGAGCCATTCTTGAAAATCTTGATTGATGCCCAACACCCATTTGTGAACAAATTGAATTTTGGGGTGGAGATTGTAGCATAAATGCAAATTCGTGGGTGAAATAGTAATTTCCTCTTTCTGTAGTGGTTACTTTGTAAAATACAAAATGTGGAACTTTTTAGGGTAAATTACGAAAACCCCCCTGAGCTTAAGCTAAATTACGAAAACAACCCCACCTATTTGTAATTACCAAAAGCCTCCTAAAATTTGTATCCGTCTTACACTAACTCCTGTAACCTTACAGTGAGACATTTCACGGATTTTTTTTTTATTTCAGGAAATAGACTCTACATAATTTTAGATATTTTATTTTATTTCTCACCTAGTTAACAGAAGGTATAATAGTCTCTATACGTTTTCTGTTAAAAAAACTCGATCAACAGTTAATCAGAGGGGAATTTTGGTTATTACGAATAGGTGGGGGTGTTGTTCGTTATTTAGCCTAACTTCAGGGTGGTTTTCGTAATTTACCCAACTTTTTAATTTATACAATTATTATTATTTTGATTTCTGTTTTTCCTGCCATAATTTTCTTCTTTCCACAATGGGTTCTGAAGATGGATCCTATCGATCATCCAAGAATTCCAAGAAACCCAAATGTACGTTTCTTGAATATTTCGACCCAATTGTGATTCAATCTTTCTCCATTTTCATGTACATTCGAAGATCTTCCCTCGTTAATTTCATGTTTTTTTTTGTTTCTTCAAGATTCTAGGTTTACCCAGCAAGAACTCCCAGCATGCAAGCCAATTCTAACACCCGGTCTGGTATGTGTTCGATGAAATGCGCCTGTGAAAAAATTGATCCTTCGTTATTATGTTTCTTGAAATTTTCAACATCATTAATTTTATTGATGGTTTCTTTTTTTCCTCAATCTCTTTTCAGGTTATAGGAATCCTCATCTCTCTTGCTATAATCTTCATTCCAATTGGTCTACTCTCCTTTTCTGCATCACAAAATGTAAACATAATCATGTTTTCTACATACTTTGTTTAACGTAATATTTATAAAGTGCATCAACTTTTTTTTTTCTTTGTTCGACATATACGATTATTTAGGTTGTCGAAGTTGTTGACCGCTACGACGAGGAATGCGTTCCTGCCACGTCATCAAAGCTTGGATTCATCCAAGATGCCCAAACAAACAAAACCTGCATCAGAACTTTGATTGTAATTAACTAGTCTCGATTCCTACTTATAACGTACGATGTATTGTTTCCTTAATGTCGCTTTTGATGAATTTTTATGTTATCTGTGTTTTTCGACATAGGTTCCAAAGAAGATGAAGCACCCGATTTTCGTGTACTATCAGCTAGACAATTTCTACCAAAACCATCGTCGGTAATTAGTACTAGGATCCATTTTAATCTTTCCAAAAGCTGTTCTTTTTTTCAAAAATAAATTAAATTAAAAAAAAAAAAAAAAAATCGGGTGCAGGTATGTGAAAAGTAGAAGTGATCATCAGCTATGGAGCCCGAAAAACGAGTACATGACAAAGCTATGCGAACCAGAGGCGGTCGACAGCAACAACGAGCCCATAGTTCCATGCGGCCTCGTTGCTTGGAGTTTATTCAACGACACCTACACATTTTCAAGAAACGACAACTCCTTAACCGTAAACAAAAAGAACATCGCCTGGACAAGCGATCGAACCAAGAAATTCGGAGCCAACGTCTACCCGAAAAACTTCCAAAGCCACGGCTTAATCGGCGGTGCAAAGCTGAACGAGACCATACCTGTTAGTAACCACCACCACTACTCGTAATTCTCTCGTACACTAATCATTTTCTCGCCAATTATTATTATTATTATTTTGTTTGTTTGTTTGGGAATTAATAGTTGAGTGAGCAAGAGGATCTTATTGTGTGGATGAGGACAGCGGCACTGCCCAGTTTCAGAAAATTATACGGGAAAATCGAAACGGATCTCGAAGCGAACGATAAAATTACGGTTGTGATCGAAAACAATTACAACACTTATGCATTTGATGGGAGGAAGAAATTGGTGATGTCTACTGTGACATGGATTGGCGGGAAAAATGATTTCTTGGGGAGGATGTATTTGACAGTTGGTGGAGCTAGCTTGTTCTTTGCTCTTGCTTTCTCTCTCCTCTATATACTTAAACCAAGGTAATTAATAATTACATTAGTGTTGTTATAAGAAAGTTATATTTTAATTTGTTGGGTTAATTAAGGTCACCCCTGAGGAAAGGTCGAATTACGAAAAAACCCCTCATGTTTGGGTAATTACAACCACAACCCTCAACTATGAATCTTCTTACACGTCCATCGTGCGATGTCAAATTTAGTTGAATTTTCTAGATTATGTGGAATATTTTTTCCAGTTTGTATCTATTTTGCCTCATTCGAGCTCCATATTTTGAAACAAAATGATCATAGGATGTGTTTCTTGCCTTGTAAATATCAGATTATGGTGCATTAGAAACTGTATTTTTTTGCACAAAACAAGTACGAACTATAGAACATTTCACGGAATCTATAATATTCTGTTGAATTTGACACCATAAGGGTGGACGTTCAAGAAGATTTATAGTTAAGGGGTGGTTGTAATTATCAAAATATAAGAGGGTCTTCGTAATTTGACTTTATCTTAGGGGTGACCGAAATTTACATTAATTTGTTTTGTTTTCTTGGAGATGAAAGAATGTTGTGTTGTCTTGATGCAGACCTTTGGGGGATCCAACCTACTTGTCCTGGAACAGAAAGCCTACACTATAAATCAAATTTTTTTTTTATTATCCATTATTATTAATTTTAAATGTGGCTATAGAAGTAGAGTTCTTGTATCATTTTTCATGATTATATTGTAATATTTATTGATTTATTTCTTATTAATTATTATTGATAATATGGCATTCATTCAATTATGAATTGTCATAGTGTTCAATTGTATGAATGTGATCATATGACACATTTCGTTATAAACAAACTATTTTTTCCCTCTCCCTTCCTTAACGAGGGCCAAATATTAAATATATGATTTTAATGTTTAACTCCTGAAGTATGTGCAATCTCGATAAATTAATAATTTGTTTAAATAATATTTATTTGGGTCTTGATATAAAAAAAAAATTGAATTATTAGCTCCATAATTTAATATTTATTAAATTAATAAAATTTTACTCATTGCTACTAAATTAATTTGCTAAATTATAGATTATAGATATTTAACCAGAAGTTGTTTATTGTGGCCGAGTGGGGCATAAGCCGCGAGAAAAGAGAAGAAACCCCAAATTAAATAGCAGTTCTAATTTTCGCCGGGGCAAAAGAAACCCTAATTTTCGCCGGCGGCGATTAAAATCACTCTAACGACCGGTGCGTAGATTGCAAGAACTAATCTTCTTAACTTCATTATAGTTTTCGATTTCTCCAGACCGAATTCTAACTCGGATTATTACGGAATTCGAGTGATTATGGTTGAAATGTTGGACGAGAAAAAATTCGACGTGGAGTTGAATTTGTTGGCACTTCGAATTCCGCGCGAGCATTGCAAGCTCGCAACTCGAGTTCTCAATGGGTATGTAGTAAATAGTGACGTCTGCGTTGATTAAACTCAACTCTCCTGAAATTTTGATGCAGCATTGTCTAACCATCTTTTCTTTTTTTTTGTTCAAATCTTTTACTGAAGATACTTACTTGACAAGCCACGCGTCAAACCTGTAACAGAAGATCCAGCGTCTGATAAGAATCGATACATGATATTATCGGAGAAAATTCAGAATCCTGGTACCATTTTTTTTAGCTAGTACTGTTTGTTGGAGAAATCTTTGTCTTATATTCTTATGTAACACTGTGGATTTGTGTTTTATTTGTAATACTGACAGATTTATCGGAAATTCCAATTAGTAAAGTTGATGAGTTGAAAGAGCTCTTTGAGATTCAAGTAGTTCCTTATTCGTTTACGCTCGGTTATTCCTATTGGAGTGCAGGTACTTCATTCACTTTATGCATACCCAATTAGTGCTTATTATCTCTAAATGGAAGTATCGTTTTTACGTATTAATGCTTCTTTGTGAATATTCAATAGAACTCAGGGTAACTGGTAGGAAACGGTTCCTATGCTTTCATGATTTATACACTCGGTTTTACATGCAATGTATTGTTTATCTTGATTTCTCTCGTCTCTCTGCCCAAACTTTGAGGCTCTAAGAAGTAAAAGGAACAATTTTTTTGAAGACGTGATTTATCATGATTGTCACTCTTTTTTTTTTGAAAAAAAACTTTATTTGGGATGTAATTTTGATATTATGGTGATTTAGCATGTTAAACTATTACATCTATCATTTTTTCGTTCATTAATAAATAAATAAAAAAGCTATATCTGTCTTGAATTTCAGATTTTGTAATGAGCTTATTTATTTTGTTTTAACTCGTCGACCTTTCTGAATTTAACGTTGCTGGAGTCTGATATAAGTTTACATGAAATTGAACATTGGGTCACTCACACTTGCGTTACAAGTTTTATTTCGTTCTGATGATTATGCAGTATGATAATATTGGATTTGACAACGCTTTATTTATGATTAACTGATATTGACGTTTCCTCTTAATAACTGTGTTCTAGACCATATTTTGAAGCAGATTCTGCCGACTGGGATCGAAGTGCCTTCATCATTTGAGACAATAGTTAAGTATTTTATGTGTTAGCCCGCTATTTATCGTCAAGTTCATATTTTCTGTGTTGTTTTTCGTTTCCAAATATTTCTGGGATGTTTTCTTTTCAGCACTTGTTTTAGGGTTTGACTATTGCTTAGTTAGTAGCCTTCTTTTGATTGGAGGTTGCAGCTTGTAATTTCTTGGTTCTCTGTTTGAAGTCTCGGTTAATGATTGTACTTTGCACTTTAATTTTCGTGCAGGTCACATTGCCCATCTGAATATTAATGATGAATTACTCCCGTACAAGGATGTTATCGCAAAAGTTATCTATGATGTACGTATTTATGCTGGCCACAAATTTTCTTTTATTAGCTATCTGACTACAAATTTTCATTCTAGTCAAGTGAATTGAATCAAATAATTCTTTTGGGGAAATGTGAATTCTCCGTTATTTGAAATGTTAAGAGGAGGAATTACAATAATATACTTGAATGAACTCAATTTGTTACATGCTTGTTCGTATAGATAGAAAGTGCTACTATACTGGCATAACCGAGGATTAGATTATCAATGAACTGATATGATTTGAATTAGGGTAAATTACAACCACCCCCTTGAGGTATGGTCAAATTAGGAAAAACCCCTTCTTGTTTGGGTAATTACAACCACCCCTCAATTATAGATTTTTTTACACGTCCACCCTTGCGGCTTCAAATTTAGTGGAATCCTCTAGATTATATGGAATATTCTCAATTTTGTAGCCGTTTTATCCCATTCGAACTCCACATTTTGAAGCAAGATGATCATAAGATGTGTTTTTTGGCTTGTATATATCAGATTGTAGTGCATCAAAAACTGTATTTTTGCACAAAACAAGTACAAACTAGAGAATATTTCACGGAATCTAGATGATTATGTTGAATTTGACACCATAATGGTGAAGGTGTAAGAAAATTCATAGTTGAGGGGTAGATGTAATTATCCAAACATGAGGGGTTTTTTCGTAATTTGACCATAACTCAGGGGTGGTTGTAATAGTCCGAGAATCTCTGCCTTAAATTGGCCTTTTATTTTCATTCACAGAAAAACTATCCGCGAATAAAGACCATTGTCAATAAAGTTGGAGCAATATCGAACGAGTTTCGCGTGCCAAAGTTTGAAATACTAGCAGGAGACGATAATTTGGTTACAGAGGTAAAGCAGTATGGAGCAGTTTTCAAACTAGATTATGGCTTGGTCTATTGGAATTCTAGATTGGAACACGAGCATATAAGGCTAATCTCGAAGTTCCAGGCTGGCGATATCGTCTGTGATATGTTTGCCGGCATTGGTCCGTTTGCTATTCCAGCAGCACAAAAAGGATGCCGAGTATACGCAAATGATTTAAATCCGGATAGCATTCGTTATCTGGAGATTAATGCAAAAATTAACAAGGTTGCTAATCTAGTCCGTGCGTACAATTCCGATGCACGGAAATTCATTTGTTCGGTAATGGAAGTGCTTTCAAGCGAAGAAAGTTCGCTAGAATCCAATGTAGCAATCTCAAATACTTCTGACAAAGGTATGCAGTCAACCTCGCAAAAAGAGTCGGGTTCCATTGAAGGTTCTATGGAAGTAATTCCGGATAAAAACGGTGCTCGTTGTGAAAGTCATGAGCAGTTGAAGGCGAAAGAAGATGCGAATTCTGCCGCTGTAAAAAGGCGTTCCGAAAATTTATCTGAAGGTATGTGGGGTTTGGAGGAAATTATTGATTTGCGCTCCTTTGATAATGGATTCAAATGATGAATTACATCTAATATTTGCAATATCTTCCAGTAGAGAGTGGAAGCGCAAACTGTACCGACATTTGCATGCCTGAAAGAAAGAAACGAGTGTTGAATAAGCACGCTGGAGGATCTCAGCCTTTCGTTGCAAAGCCATGGGAGCACATTGATCATGTCATAATGAACCTTCCTGCCTCTGCTTTAGAATTTCTAGGTAACTTTTCGTCTGTTATATATATATATATATATATATATATATATATATATATATATATATATATATGATTAATGAATATACATTCGACAGATGCTTTGGGAGGTCTTATCAACAGAAAACACTGGAAAGGCTCTCTGCCGTGGATTCACTGCTATTGCTTCATGAGATCAACAGAGACAGATGATTTAATAAAAGCAGTAAGTGAAAGTTTCTTCGTATAGGAAACAACAATACTCTGTTTTTTATCTGTCTAAAGTTAGATTTTCGTGTGGTGCTATTCAGAAGGCAGAGGCTGCATTGGGTGCTAGTATACGAGATCCAGTATTCTACAGGGTTAGAGACGTTGCGCCAAACAAGGTACCATGCGACAGTCGAGTTTTTTGTTAGCATGAAATAATGTTGGTTTTTTTTTTTTTTTTTTTTTTTTGTTTAAGGTGGTAATGGATTTGTATATATTTGGGCAGGCAATGTACTGTTTAAGCTTCAGATTACCAGAGGAAGCATGCATTGCTGCTAATGATGATGACAAAGACAAGAATGCCCTTGGTGACTGAGTCTTGATAAATTATTTTTTGGTAGAGATTGTGAAAACTGAATGAAATATAAAAATGCTAGTTTTGATACTTTTTGCTCTAATTTTGAATTTTATTTTATATATATTGCACATCTTAAAATTGTATGTATTCTTTTTATTTTATATAGACTTGATATTAGATACAAAATGCATATTCAACATAGTTATTTTTTTGTATTCCTTTTTTTTTATTTTATTATTATTATTTAAAATAAATTGTACTACATTAAATTCTTGTACAAGAGGGAGAAGAGAAAATATCTTCGATACGACGTCGTATCTTCTGTCAGCCCCAAATGAAGCCCTAATTTCCCCAATTTCCCCAATTTCTCAAAGGTGGGTGATGATGGCTACCACCAACATTTCCGCCTCTTTACTTCTCGTTTCAACTACCCGTACAAGAAAACAAGCTTACAGTACTACGGCCAAAGCATCGCCGTCGTCATCGTCATCGGAAAAGGTCGAAATAAGAGTGTGTACAGACAAGCCATGCAGAAAGCAAGGCTCTTCCGACACTCTGCAAGTACTCTCCGGAATCGCCCCTCCGTTCGTCACGGTGAACTCGTGCGGGTGCCTCGCGCGTTGCGGGTCGGGTCCCAATATTGTAGTTCTGCCGGGGCCTACTTTTGTGTCGCACTGTGGGACCCCAACCAAGGCCGCCGGTGTGATGTCCGTCGTCTGCGGCGGCGGGGTTGAAGATAATGCCGCCGGCGAAGCGGCGGCGAGTAGTGTGAGCAGGTGTTTGGAGGCGTTGGCGTTGAGGAAGAGAGCTGAAGATGAGATGGGCCGAGGCGATTTCTCTCTGGCTTATAGTTTACTCTCGCAGGTATATGGTTTGAAAGATTAAAATACACTTTTTTTTTGGTGTAGAAGAGAAAATGACTGGTTGATGTATTGATTATAAGAATAAAGATTTGCTCTTTTTTATGCCATTATCTCTGGATTGTTACCTAGTTTCTGATACGAATGAAGCACCGAATGTTTGATTCGACAATACACGTTGTATTTGCAGGCTGTAGATCTCAAACCATTTGGCGGTCTACATATAATATACAAGGACAGGTTTGTCGAGATTTCACTTTTATAGTCTCTATGTGTGATGAGTTATGATAAAATCAGAATTTCGAAGTAGCACTGTCGTGATTGTTGCTCCAATTAATGCGATTCGCAGTATCGTTACTTAATTTGGGAAGTTCGTTTGCTTTTTCTTGTCGAATAGGTTTTTGCTGATGAAGCCACCTTCACGCAGAAACTCATTTATTCGACTTGCAAGCAATTTTTTTTTCTTTTTTTTATTTTGATTGCATTGTGATGGTCATATAAATGTCGTTTTATCAGGTCTGCTGCGAGGTTGGCTGTGGGAGACGTAAATGGAGCACTTGAAGATGCTAAGCAGGCTTTGGCTCTTGCACGTTACTATCCCGAGGCAAGTATAACTGTTTGTCAGGCTGTCTGTAGAGCGGGGATAATTGCTTTTCTTGACTTGCAAAGTTTCCATATCGACCGTCAAATTTACAGCTCTAAAAAGCTATTATGGATGGTGGTTTAGTTTTTCTTGAAAGATAAGATAATGTTGTTGTTCTTGACCATCCAGTGTTTGTTTGTTCAATAAGAGGCAAAAAACCGCCACAGGGATTTGCTAAATGGAAGAAAAAGATGTTTATTCTCTTGCCTGTAACGAAAATAAATGTGACAAATGAATTCTTTTTTTTGATAAGAAATGTGACAAATGAATTCATCAAGTCTCTATCTGATCATATGAATAGTTGTCCAATCTTCGAGTCCAGGTGGTCATGCTAATATTCGTCGGTCTCATATTACAGGCTTATATTTGCGAAGGTGATGTTTTTATGGTTATGGAACAATTCGATGCTGCTGAGGAGTCGTATTCAATTGCTTTAGATTTAGACCCATCCATTCGTCGTTCCAAATCGTTCAAGGTATTTAAAGCATATTTACATTCGTCTTAAGTAAGCCTCTGAACCACAACAGTTTTCTGAAAGGTTACGTAATATTCACTTTGCAGTTGTGATATCATTAGTGTTTAAGTTGTGTCTCTTGTTTAGTTGGGTTCTGATTCTAAGATGTTTAAAGTAGTAGCCGTTTTTTTCCGTTTCAGGCTAGAATTGCAAAGCTTCAGGAGAAACTAGCTCCTGCAGACTTGGCTTGAATACGGCTTTACGTTGGGGTTGGTTATCGAACAATTGTAAAGGAAATAACTAATAGAATATAATGTACCAATACATTGCAATTTCTCATTCGTCATCTAATAGAGTATTGTTATACTGCCTCATCATTTTGACTTGTGAAGTCGGCACATCCTGCTGACTGCTGTGGTCTATCTGTAACCGCACAAGTGATGGGAGTAGCATGGTTTCTGGTCTAGATTTCGTAAAAAATATTAGCTTGTCTTTATTTGTAGTTATATAAATAACGGTCAATTTTTAGCACCGTTTATACATATCTGTCGTTATGCATGTCGATAAAGCATACAATTTAAAAGCATGAAAATACGACATTGGGCAATAAGACTTGGCTTCATTTTCTGCATGTAAATAGAGCATATATAAACTGTTATATAATATTACATATATTGATATAGATCAGCAAAATACTATGCTACTGTCTGTCATCTTGAAATTGTTTTGCAGAGTGTGGCCTCTGTTTCAAGAACTTGCAGGATCGAACTGTGGGCCACAAGGGAACAGCAAATCGAACTTCTTCACCTTATCCCACAGCTTCAAACCCCTTCTACCTTCTGCACCACCACCTTTTCCGCTCTTACCACCGCCAACCTTCTTCACCTTGAAGCTAAAGTATTTACCGAGACTTGCACCACCACCACCGCCCCTTGCCTGAAAACAGTCCTCCAAATTCACCTCTTCTCCACCCTTACCGCTCTTCTTGGAGGACATGTTCTTCTTCTCTTCTTGTTTCACAAGTTGCTCGTAGTACTCCTTATTCCTCTTCTCCAGCCCGTAAATCTGCCCCTGAAGATCTTCGATTTTCCTACTCAGCATGCAAACCCTATGATCCTCCCTCGTCTTCAGTACGCACCTCGCCAGCTCAGCAGTTTTCCTCTTCAAGAATAAGGACTCGGAAGCCAGCCCTTTGTTCTCCTCCGCCAGTGCCGCCACCCTGTACGCCAGCGTGGCATTGTCGTTCAGCAGAATCAGCCTCTCCGAATCCAGCACATCCAACAGGTTCTTCTGCAGCTCCATTTTCCTAGACGACTCGCCCCACCTCTTCTCCACCACTGTAAGCTCGTTCAGAACAATATCGTACTCCACACTTTTCATAACTAAATCTGCCATCACCATATCAATGTCCGTTTCTTTAGCTTTGGCTTTTACAGGGGATACAGTTTGAGTAGTCTGGAAAGACAGTGAACTCTCCGCATCCGAATCAATAACTTCTCCAGTGTATTCATCATCAAAATTCAAGATCGGAATCGGGGAGGAGCATCGGCTGTGGCGGTTCTGATGGTGGTTCTTGGAGAGTGACTGACAGTAACGGTCGGCCAAAGAGAGGTAGCTGTTGTACAGTTCATTGAGTAACGACAGCAGCTGAGGGCGCTCGTGGTAGTAGGAATTAGCTCGTGCAGCGAAACTGTCGGGGCTGCTCTGTTTAGGTATTTTTTTCATCGTCAGCATTTTCATCCTCTCGTCCAAATCTGTTGAAAATCAGAATATAAAAATGGCATTAAATGACGTGTTTGGTCTTTTCTGCAATATAACTATTGAGAATTTGGATTTCAGAAACAGTATTTTTCGATCGGTCCCATATAAAGATCTCATTTTGAAATTCAAATAGAATCGAGATAAGTTTCGGTGTGGACCTATCAATAATGATATGCAGTATATGCATTTTCTGAATTATTGCAGGTTTATTTCAAATGTATGTGTACAAGGACCACAAACTAGACCATGTTTTCTTGATTCTTGATTCTTGATTTAACATTGTTTTATTTTTTACTTATTCCTTTTTGCAGTGAAATGGATAACAAAAGGCCAAGATTATTATTACATTAAAACAGGCAAGAAGCTGACATGGCAATGGGGGGGCAGACCACATGGGAGAATAGGGGGGGTGATGACTGATGAGTGTTTGAATTTTGAAGTCTACAAAACCAGAGAATCAAATCATAGTCTATCTGCTACACGGCATCAATCAATCAATCAACAAAAGGGTATCTGTATTTTGGCCAAAGGGTTCAAATTTCAAACACAAAAAAAAGGGGGGGTTGGTTGTAAATTCAGAAAATATGCAAAAAAATGGTAAAGATTGCAGCTTTATGAAATAGAACCTTTCTGGGGCTGATCTTTTACATAGGGTTTGAAAGTGACATATCACAGTGTTGTTTTACTCAAAGCCAAATACAGGGAAAGATGGGTACATCAGAAAAGCACTTGCCTCTAAACCACCATCTTGGGCCCACATTCCCCCCCAAATTTAAATTCAAAAAAACAAAAAAACAAAAAATAAAAATCTAATCTTTTTTTTCTTTTTTTTCCTTCTTGGACTTTTTCACCTTTCTAATTTCATGGTGAAGAGTGAATACTACTACTACTATTTCTGCTTTTTCACATTGTTTTGAAATTTGAACATATCCAAGAAAAAAGTAAGGTGATTTTCATGCTATTTTTGATGAAATTTGTGAATTATAATAATATTAGTAATTATAGTATTGAATCACGTGATTATATATATTTAAGTTGAGGATAAATAAAATAAATAATTGGTGAATTATTAACTACACCGACAAAATAGTGTTACTGTGTTTTTCTCAAAAAAAAAAAAAAAAGAAGAAAAAGACAAAATAGTGTTGTAGTGAGAGAAAGTAATGAATGGTGTGTGTGTACCAGCAATGGTGCAGAGAAGCCAAGAAGGTTTGTTGACGAAGCTTCTTCGGTGGCGACGTGATAGATGATGATGATGATGATTTGACGGCTCACCCACCACCACCGCAACCGCCGCCGCCGCGGCAGCCTCTCCACCACCACTTTTCTCAGCCTTTGCCACCATTATATTTCACCACACAAGTAGTAATAATAAAGAAACACAGGGTACCCTACAGTATTTAAACCACCACCACCACCATATTAATTAAATAGCTGCATATATAATACGGAAGATAGTAAACATACAATATGACCCATAAATGAATAAGAAGAGTGACAGTGTGCTATAAATGGCACCAATCCTAAACATCAAGAACTGAAGTGAAGTGATTAGTACACATTTAATGAACCATTATCACTAATCAACATCAAATTATATTATATTATATACACTAATTTCTTGACACTAAACTAAAATCACTTCTCCTTGGGAAGAAAACACCCTTTTCTCCCCCCTTATATTTTCTCTTGTGTGTGTGTTTTAGTTTTTTTTGAGTGTCTATTTTCTTCCCAAAGAATCAAGATACACACACACACACACACACACACACACACACACACACACACACACACAAAGAACAGCAAATAAGGATGAAATCTAATTCTTGATAGAGAAAATGGAAGAGGGGGGAAAAGGGGTGCTAGATTTTTCTTCATTCTTTGGGAAGAAAACACACACACACACAAAACAGCATGACAATTTGCATGAAAGAAAAGAGTATAACATGTTGAAGGTGATGCATACATACCTCTTTCTGGTTTAGGGTAGGAAGATTCAAGAAAGAAGAAACCCTTTTTCAAGAATGCAGAAACACACACAGGGACACACACAGTGAGTGTGCAAAAGGGATTATTAGTGTGTATGTTGGGGAAGAAGCAGAGGTGTGTGTCTGTATGTAGAAGAGACAAAGGTGAGTAGAGAAGTTTAAGGAGGGGGGTGGGGGTAGTAAATTAAAGTCCCCGCTAAGAATGATTTGAGTGCTGGCCAATGAATGGATGACACGTGGAATATTATGCCCGTACGAACATTGAATGCACTGCTACTACTACTAATACAAACTATGCCTATGGTTTCTTGGGAAATGGAAGCAAGTTAAGGCAGTATTTACTTACTACTGTATTACTGTATTACTTCTTTCAGAGTTGATTTCCTCTTTATTACACGGCATACAACAAAGGACTCTCTCTCTCTCTCTATTTATTGAGATATATATTAAAAGAGTTGGTCAAATTAAAGTTACCAAGGTAAGGTATAATTACCAAAAGATCCATCTTGATTGGTTAAAAAAAAAGGGCTAAATACAGTTTGCACCCTTAAAGTATAGGGTCGGTAACACTTACCCGTTAAAGTTACAAATGTAACACTTACCCCCTCATTAATGAATTTAATGATAAAACTTTGACTTTAAATGATGTGGCATTTTTTCTTCCTAAATTATCCTTCTAGCTATTATATTGATGCATATATAATAATATATTTTCAATAATATTTCAAAAACTAAATTTTATTAAAATATAATAATTATTAAAAAAATATTTTAATTTATGTTTAACTTCACATTTTAATTCTTATAGACTCTAATATAAATAAAAATCTCAATATTTTAAAAAATATATAAAATACGTTAAACATTTGCAAGAAAAAAAAATATTTTCAAGACTTAAACATCCAATTTTTGTTTATAATAATTATTGATTTGAAAATTTATTCCAGTTACTTAAATTGCAATAAAAAAATATTTCAATGTTTAGACGTTTAAATTATAATTTCTTATTAACTTTTGAATACATTTTGTGATTCTCAGAGTAAAAAGTGAGATGATTATATTAGAGTCATATACGCATTAAAATAACTATATAAACTATAAAATCATAATTAAAATTTGTTAGCTACAAATGAACACAAGGTAAAACAAAATTAAAACTAAAATTCAATTTTTTCATTCATAAATTTACAATATTAAAATAATAAAATTATGTTTTTGCAAAGTTACCGATTTTTTTATTATTACATATTCATTATTTATATAATGGCTAGAAGGACAATTTGGGAAGAAAAAATGTCACATCATTCAAGTCAAAATTTTGCCTTTAAATTCACTAATGAGGGGGGTAAGTGTTACATTTGTAACTTTAAGGGGGTAAGTATTACCACCCCTATACTTTAAGGGTGGAAACTGTATTTAGCCCAAAAAAAAATTAACATTTAAGTTGCTATATGTAATATTAGTATTTAAATTAAAATTAATTAAAAAAGAAATCAAAATTTTAAATATTTTTAATAAAATTTTGGTAATTCAGTTATTTTCGAACCAAGCGTTAAACAGTATGAAATTGTGGCGTACCCCGCAATTTGTGTACAATTTTACTGAATAAACACCCATACTTTATCAATATAAGGGATTCTTTTATAAAACAGTACATAGTTAAGGGGTGCTTGTAAGTTGTAACTATGCAAGCAAGAGTTTTTTTTTCGTAATATACCCTAAAAGAGAATGATACTAGTTTTTTTTCCTAGCTCATAAATCTCTTTTGTTTAGTTTCATATACTACGAGACCATCACTTTATATTATTATTACAAGTACACTTTTTTTTTCCATTTTAAAAAATGCTACCGCGCATAAAACGTATTATGACCGAACACATTTTTTAATAATATTTATTTGTTCATTTTCCTCTAAATGTTTTTTAATAGTGTTTATTTGTTCAGATGAATGTTTTCAGACAATAGTAACTTTATATTTAAAATCACTGTAAATCACAATGTTCTGAATTCTCGCAACATAAACCAACGATGAGAAAAGACAGAAAGAAGAAAGAGGAGGAGAAGTTTCGACAAACTCCTATTGTTGTTTAGAGCCGTTGTGTACCATATATTCAACGTCCGATTTCTTGTTCTTAACAAATTGCATAGTTGTTGAAAATTAGTTTTACCCCAAATTTAAACCCTAATACTACAGTAAAATTTGTTATTCATTGTTGGAGTTTTGATCATCCCTTTTTTTTCTCTTTGAATTGCACGATTTGGAGAAATCTTGCAGTAGGGTATTGTGTTTCGACAATTTATTATCTTGTTAGAGATATCCTTGTGATCACCCATTCAATATTCCGTTTCTAGAGTTTGAGTGTTTGTATTTTATTTTTATTTTTGCCGTAATGAACGCATTTACATAACAATTTATAATTTTGCAAGTTGTCCCAATAGTATGATTGTTATTTGGTGTTTGTAATGTGTGTAGATTACAACGCTTTCTGCTTCGTTACTACGCGTTGTTGTTGACTAAAATCGTATATGAACGAAGACAACATCGTGTTTTGTTTGTTACTACATAAATCGGCCCCAAGAAGGAAAATTTTAAAAAAGATACTCGATGCTCGTCTTATTGCTTCACAAAAGCAATCCACCCCTATCGAACATAAGATGTGGGCTCTGCAATTTAATGCCTTAAAGTCGAGTCAGTTCGGGCACTTCCTAAACGTGCCCAAATTGGGTCATAGTTTCAACGAAGTGCAAGATCTGTTGAAAAAATATCTTCCATAATCAAAAGAGTTCGTATTTGGGAACTCATGCCCACATAAAAAATGTTTTCCTTTCTTATATTTTTCTCCTAACACCAAGTATGAAACTGGGCAATGTAAGTTCTGCATTAGTGCTAATCCATACAAACACAAAAATCATCGAAACAAGAAAATCCGGATATAGAGATATCTCTCTCAGAGACGTGTAACCAAGCAGCAAGATAAAATTCCTTGTTTCGACCCAACCACAAGAATTAGTTTTAATAAAACTAATATAACATTTCACGTAAAACAGTACTATTAAGAGGAGCCGTATTTGCAATTCACCTGTTCCCCCTCTATAAGCCTTTCTACAGCATCTGAGGGCAAGCCAATCAGCTCTAGTGTTTTCTCCCAAACCCTGTTTGAAGTTTCGACATTGTGTGCTTCCTCGGAAGGATTTGCGGGGCGGCAATCGTGATTAATGAAAGCACAAACCGGCCAATCTTCTGTCTTTAGGGACTCACAGTATTCCACTAGTTGGGGATCGGTTGCTGCGAATAGTGTACTTCTAGAGCCTGCACAATGTAACAAGGTGCTGCTTCATATACCCTACTCGCGGGAAATTGTTTTCGAATAAAATGTTATCTCAGTTTATAACAAATTAAATCAGATTTAAGAAAGTCGTGTTTGCAGTAGCTATAACTTTCTGGCAATTTACCTTCTTCGGGGCTGAAAATGAAGTATGGGATTAAATGGTATGCAGCTTGAACAATCTTCGGAAGATCCCTAGCCTGCATTTACAAATTCAAGACTCCAATGTGACTTATCATACTTTTGGAGAAGTGTAACAAACTATTAGATGATACCATATAATTAGGTTGTCTAATTTTGGATGATAAGGACCATGCCAAAATCTTGTGACATGTCGGAAACTTACGACATTCGTTTGGACTATTCCAGGAGAAACACATGCTACATTTATCCCTGCTTCAGTTGGAAGTTTCTTATTCAGGACACTGCTAAACATGATCTGCATTGACATATCTAAAGGGCATTAGTAAAGGATCGTGCCAAAAAAAACGGAGGAATTTCAAACACACAGCCCCAATAAATATTTAATTTTGCGAGTACTAAAAGCATTTACGTTAAAAGACTAATACCCAGAGGTACATGGTACACAAAGCCACAGACACTAACTTGAATCAATTTACAAACTCGATTATTGATGAAATTTAAGAAAAGAGAATTTTATTAAAGCCCAAGCAGCGCTTGCTAAAATTAAAGATATCACTTGGGTGCACCTGTGCTAGTTTACTGCTTGTATATCCCACCAGACTAGTATATTTTCTTTTGCCAGATGTAACATTCATATCTTCTGGATCTACAAATCCTAAGCTATGCATCTGCACAAATACAAACAGATTAATTTATTCCATGCTTAAGAGCAGCTGACAAGAAAATAAATATCGATTAAACATGTTGTCAGCAATCTGGATCAACAAATGCTAAAGTTATTTAAGGTTCTAGTAGAATGTTGTTGCAAAAGTAAATGTAAGGATTGACCACCAAGTTACATCACAACACATGATAAAGGAATGGAACTACTGCATTTTGGATGATCCAAAGACATCCAACATGCTAAACACTAGGCTGAAAATTTGAGGTTTACGTCTGTTAACCTTCTCAAGAATGCAACATTAATTCCTTGTCTATTTGACAAGAAAGTAGAAACTACTAATAGGCTTGCACTCTAACATGCCTATCATTCTTTCCACAGTGTGACGAGATTCTATTCCCACAAACTATAAAGTGTTAATTAGATAATCCATAACAAACCCTTTGTCTATTACATAATAAAAGGAAAGATATGAAGAAGGCCTTCGTTCTGCAAAAGGCACTACTATAGCTTTCATCCCAGTAATCTATAAAATATTACCGAATAATTTTTCAAATCAGGTTAATTTGGAGGAATTTTTAGTTATACTAAGGTGCAAATTGTTAACTCTTCATTAGAGACTCTTAAAGGAATGTTTAAATGGAATAAGAAATATGGAAGTTCTGCATCAGCCAGTTAACTATAACCATAAATGCATAGTAAAAACAGTTTTCGACACTTGTGTTGGAACAGTATTTTGTGTTCAAAATGTAATGATACTGCAAATATATTTCTCTCCACCATAATTCAATCTGTAAAGGGCATTGACATCATAAATATTTCTCACCAGAAATAAACAACTTGTTCCATGAATCCACATCATTCCTCTCTAGAATCAAGAAAAGATGCCAATTGACGTCGAAATACAAAAATAATGTATATATAGTGCTTGCGCAACTTACAACGGAATTCACGTTGACAATACGGCTTGGCGAGCTTCTAATAAGGGAAGGCAAAAGTAATACTGAAAGCAGTGCCGGAGCCAGATGGTTCACTTGCATGTGTTCTTCATATCCATCCTTTGAAATTTTTTGTGGTTCTGAACAGAACAAGATTATATAAATTCAACTAGGATTAAAAAAAAGGGAGAAGCATCAACATATTGGTACAAATTAAAATGGCAACATCAATGTAACCACAAGGGAAAAATTATGAGTAGTATAGTTTCAGTAGATTATTTACAAACAAACCTCCAATGGAAAATATCCCAGCATTGTTGATGAGTGCATGTAGAGGTCCTGAACGTGTATTCCAAGCTTCAGCAAATCTCACAACGGAATCCAGGGAAAGAAGATCAAGTTCCATAACCTGCAACGTATATATAAGTTAAATTTCCGTGGAATCACTAGTATTAAACTAAAACTGTAAAAGATTTGATGCCAATTTGTATGTTTCCAAATACAGGAATTGTTCATAGAACAAGGAAATTCTAGAGGTCCTAATAGTTTTTTGTTTTTTTTTTTTTTTTTTTGTGGGGGGGGGGGGGATTAAGTATGACTTAATATCCAAAGATAAACTCAATCTGTTGAGTACCTCAATATCAAGAGGAAGACCCTTTCCGGACCAATCTTCCTGCCACTTCTTTATCAAGTCATTAGCTGCCTTTGTATTTCTGACCGCCATCACAACATGCCCCCCTGCTTCAGCCAATTGCCTGCCCGATAACGAAACCAGAAACGAATTCATAAAAAGCACGTATAAGTTAAGTTTGAATCCAAAGCATCACTTGGTATAAGCACAATCTAAAACCCTAAAGCTACAAAATACTGATTCAATCATCATACTAAAATTGCATATTTCTAAATCAAAAATATCAGCAAGGATTGCCAAAATCAGACGCCAGCATATTATATACCTACCCAAGAACCACAGTTAACGCATGACTATATCAGTAATCAGCACAGACTAATCAAAATGAATTTTGAAAGATAAATTACTGCGCCGAGCCAAAAAAAATCGCCAAATAAATTAAAAAAGAACAATCCTCACGCGGTCACCCACAGGAACCCTAATTCCATCCAATAACAGCTAGGAAAAAAAGAGATGATTGCGAAGAAATGGACAAAAGTATTATTACAAGCTGGGAAAAAGCAGTAAATTGGGAAAAACCTGGCGATTTCCTTGCCGATGCCGGAGGTGGAGCCGGTGACGACGAAAGTGAGGTCGTTAATCGGAGGGAGGGGCATAGGATTGGGCAAATTGCTGGCGACAATCCTCTGGAACAGCATCTCGTAAGCCAGGTAGAACCACCCCATCATCCATTCTATCCACCCTAATGCTTCCTTCTTCACCTTAATCTCCGCCGCCTCCTCCGACGGCTTTCCGTTCTCCTTTTCCTTCTCCGGCGAAGCTGAAACCGATGCCATTTTTCACACACACACACACACACACACAGAGCACACTCTACTATTAAATTATTTTATGAAATAGAATATAGTATAGTATGTATGTATAGTTGGAGATTCAGATCAAACTCAAAATCTGAGCGTAGGAGCCGTTGGATCAAGTTGCATGTTTGAATTGTAGCCGTTGAATATTTGTATAGGCTGGAAGATTCGGGTTGTTTTTTGTCCCGTTACCTTTTCGTAAAAGAGAATCGTGTTTCCTCACTTTTTAACTTTTGTCTTCCTCATGAGGAATATAACGCTTTTTAATTGTTACAAATTAGGCCTTCATTTACTTCAACTTTGGCCCAAATAGAAATATCTCATAATCTATATTGCAATAGTTAGAAGCCCATCTACACATTTCGTGTTATTTACGAGTTACTGCACGAGAGTGGAATTACCTTATTGGACAAATTTGGTTGTAAAAATAAACAAATAAAGAAAATTATATTAACACTTATCAAACTAAATTAATGTACATTTTTTGTCCAGTGCAGTCTGCACATTTCGTGTGAGTTGCGAGTTATTGCACGAGAACGGGGTTGGCTCGTTGCACAAATGTGGTTGTAAAAAAAACAAATAAAGAATTATATATTAACACTAATGAAATTAAATTAATGCACATTTAGTATGATCAAGTGCATTACCTCAAGTTTGGGGTATTGAATTTGCTAGGGGAGTGAGAGAGGGTGGTCTCATTAATTTATTATCCTTGATCTTTAATTCCTTGCTACGTCGAGCTTGTCACACGTGATTAATCTATTATGATTTACGTCTTTTATATAGTTTGCAAATTATTATATGATAGTATAAATATAAGGATTTGACTAATGTATTGAAGTATAACTCAACTGGTTAAGGATTTGACTGATGTACTGTCATCATCTTGTTAGTTTGATCGGTTGGTAAACTCCTACTTCCTGGCCGTTGATTTATATCCCGCGATTTACATCCTCCACAGTTTCTCGACATAGGTGGTGTGGCCTGTGGGCCCCCCTAAGGTGGGATCCACCTTTTTCGCTTATCAATAATTATGTAAATACTAATCATACTAATAATTTTGGTACTGTATAACTGGTACGTGGTACTCTATGATTATCGTTGAAAACTTGACTAAAAGTTGTCAAGAATATAATGTCATTCTATTTCAATGAATTTGGTAATATATAAATATAACACTAATTCCACCCTTAGAGGTTGATGGAAGAAGAATCAATGCGTTTCTGTTAAAAAGTCACTGTCATCCCAATATATATTATGTGCTTTGCCAATGTTCTTGGGGTAGGAGGTGGGGTAATATATATATATATATATATATATATATATATATATATATATATATATATATATATATATATAGGGATTATTTCACAAACACCCCTCACTAGCCTTCTCCAATTACAAGGAGTCCAAAAAAAAATCTTATTTTTAGGATAAATCCAAAATATTTTTAATTAATGAAAATTAATATAGTTTTACAATTATACCCTTTTTTTCTACATAATCTTTTATTTAATATTAATTTATAATTTCCATCCACACTATCAAACCCTAAGTTCTCGTTTTAATTTCTATTTATCCCAGCCATCTTCTCTATCTATCGCCACTGCCACTTCTCTTCACTCTCCATTGCAGCCACCGCCCTTTCCTCTCTCTCCATCGATCACCGTGCGTCCGCCGCCGCTCCTCCTCTTTTCTTTCTCTACTTCCGTTGTCTCCCCTCTCTCTTCTCTCCACTGTCCCGTAAGATCTCCTTCCCTCTCTTCTTTTTTCTTTGTTCCAGGTAGCGTGAGTTTGGTTTTGGGTGCTCGATCCTCCGTGTTGTATTGCGTCGCCGAAGCCGTCCGCAGCGTTTCTGATACGCCCCCAATTTTCCTTCTCAATATTTCTTTGATTTGAGCAATTTCAATTTTCTTAATTTTGTTCGAGTATTTACTTACCTGCAAAAAAATCCAGCAAGAGTCTCACCCTTTTTCTTTCTTATTTCATCTTTTGGGGAAAAATAAAGTAAATAAATTTTGTCTCGTATTAGTAGTAATATTTTGAGGCTTTAGGTAAGATATAAGTGAAAATGTGTGTATTATTGTAAGAGAGGACACAATTTATGGGGTTTTTAGTTTTTGATGAGATCTAATGAAAAAATTTCATGATACACCTGATGCTTGGACCAGGCTCGTTTTTAAGAATGGCTCAGTGCTTTCTTTGCACCCAATTCAATTGCTTCAGTGGCCACACCACGTCATTCTTCAATAACACAGTTTTTTGTAGTTTTCTTTTTCCTTTTTCCTTTTTTTTCATATAAAAATATTGTTTTGTACAATATGATTATATATATTATTATTTTTAATATTGCACCTTGGATAATTTTTCTTGTATAAAATTTTGGCATTGGGACTATCCATGACAAGCTTCATAAATTAGGCATATTTGTGCTATATTTGCATAAATCTCTTGAAACAGAAAATTAATGAGGAAACAACAATTATGATTAAAAAGAAGGGACGATGGTGTGACAACAAGGTTTGCTTTTGAAAATTGGTTTTCATTTGCTAATTATTTTTTTTCTTATTCAGATTGATATAGCCACCCTTGTCGGCCTTGTTGGTGGTGGTGTATTGACTTGCACTTTTTCATGGACGTAGTAGTGGTTTATGTTTCAAACAGTGGATTTTCGAAGAGTGGATTTACGAATAGTGGATTTACGAAAAGTGAATTTACATTTATTTTTGTTTGTTATATAGTTGTTTATACGAAGTGGTTTTCATAATGCTAGACTTTGTCTTTGATAAATTTATAGTGATTTTCAACAATTTTATAGTGGTTTTTAATAACTTTTGTACATATATTTATATAATTGTATATACAGAGTGGTTTTTAGGTTGACATAGTTGTTATAAAGTGTGGTTTTCAAGTTTACATAGTTGTTATACAGAGTAGTTTTCATGTTAAATAACTGTTATACGTAGCGGTTTTCATGTTTATATAGCTGTTTATACAGAGTGGTTTTCATGTTTATATAGAGTGGTTTTTATTTAAAAAAAATGGAAAGGAAAAAAAAACCATTTTAAAATAAATAAGAAAAAATAAAAACCATGAAAAAACAAAAATAAAAATAAAACTATTTTTTTAATTTAAAATAAAAAACATGAAAAAATATAAATAAGAAAAAAAAAACAATTTAAAACAAAAAACCAAAAAAAAAAAAAAAAAAAAAAAAAATAAGAACGTCTTCAACCGTGCTGAACCGTGCTGTGGGACATTGAAGAGGGGCGGGTGATTTTCTGCAATCTGATCTTGGGATTGATTTGGGTTTTGATTTATTTTTTGGAGGGATTTGGTATTAATTTACCATAATATTTAGTTTAATAATTATACTAATAAGTGGGGGTATATATGGGTTTTCAAGTCAAATGGATTTATCTCAAATACCATTAATTAATTATGGATTTATCAAGAATAAAAAACCCAATGGAGGGTGTTTGGCATATTCCCCCATATATATATATATAGGGTATAATTAATGTAGCACCTACCTCAATTATTATGACTAAATGCCATGATTAACAAAATTAGCACAAGCTTCAAATTTACAACAATGGCCATCAACATATCAAACATTAAACACCATGGACAATACTAATTAACCTCCAAAAAAAAAAATCAAGAATTGAAGGCAAACCTTAAAAATTGCAAAAATCAATAGTCCAGATAATAATCAGACCATATTAATTCGACATATATATATATATATATATATATATATATATATTATATATATATAATCCCATGTTGTAATATTAGAGTCCTCGTTTGATCATATCCAAGAACCTTTGATCAGATTCTTGCCTCTGTAATCTCATATCATCGTTGAACTTCTTGATGAAGGCTTCGACTTGGTTGTTCAATTCGTCCAGCCCCACCGAAGGATCTCTCCTGATCAGGGGCCTACCGCCGCCGCATCTCCGCCTTATTGAAACCGTCTCGTTAAAAGTCTCCGATTTCCTCAGCTCCTTCGCTGCCGGCAGATCAAATAACTCGTTCGTTATAATTGGTTGTGGTGGTGGCGGCGCCTCGTGGACTACATCCCATGTTTCGCTCTTTTTCAGGTGTTTTCGGTCGGGCCTCTGTTTTTCTCCTCCCGTTATTGCCCTCCACGTGGCATCCATTGTGTCTTCGTCTTCTTTTCCTTTTTCTTCGTCGTGTTGCGAATTTTCCATTTTCTTGATTTTATGGGGTTCTTCGGTACAATTCTGTGGCGTACTAATGACTTTGGCGCACTTTTCACTAGTTCTTGATGGTGTTGTGTTTCTAGTGGCGGTGGTGGTGGTGGTGGTGGTGGTGGGGAGAATAGTGGTGGCGGTTCGTCAACGACGATACTATCGAGAGTGTCGGTTTCGTGGCGATGGAAAGAGGAAGACGCGAATATTAGAAGCACGATGGAGTTGATGACGATGCAAATGTAGAGAGGAGAAGACAAGATACACCGAACGGAGCTCCAAAATCCGACAAGGCTCGACAAAACATTAATCTCACACGAATAAAAAGGCAAGATTTTTACCATCACCAAAGTCGAAATTATAAGCCCTACTACCGCAACAACTGCGCCTGTCTGAAGAAGTACTAATAATCGTCTGTTATTGTCTCGAGAAGCGTCTGTCGCCATGTAAACCTCGCGGAAAAAAACGAAAAAAAAAAGAACCCGATGTTTTAAGACGACTAGAATTTACGATTTTTTGCAAGAAAATGCATATATAGTAGAGAGAGAGAGAGAGTGGTTACATTTCGAAAAGAAAAGGAAGACACCAGCACAAAAATGAACAAGCTAGGCCTTTTTTTTATAGTGATTAAGATGATTATTAAACAATGTAAGCAAGTTGCTAATTATTAATTAAAAGTATTAAACCATTGTTTGTCCTGTCCTTTTTGCACTTGATCGGTAGATAAGATGTACCTCTTCTAATTAAGTTTGTCAATGTTGTCTTAATCACCAACATATATATACATTATATATATGTATATATATCCTTCAGTTTCTGTCTGAATTCACTAGGCCAAAATGCCACACTGGCGACGAAATTTCGCGACGAAATTCGTCACGTAGCGACGTTT